CTCAAATGGATAGGAGACTTAAAGTGAAGAAAGCAGTTTAAACTTCATTGGTGCATGTTAAAGCCTAATGAAAAAAATAAAAAAAATAAATTATTTGCATGTTTTCTGTGCTTTTTTTTGTAAATTACTGAACTTTTGGTAATGTCTTGCTGCTTAGTGCTGTCATCTAAAACAAATCTAATTGAAACAACAAGATAGATATTCATTATCATACATGAACAAGACATTAACTAGTTGATGTAACAAGGCAGAATTTTGTTGAATTGAAGTGCTTTACCGACATTGAGTGAATAAGAATAAATTTGATTAGACTAACACAATACAAACATTTTGATTCAATTAGTTGCAAAGAAGTTACATTGACATATCAAAATCATGTTTAATCTACAAATGTATATTGTGTTCATATAACATATTCAAAGCAGTCCAAGTTTACTTGATTTGATTAGATGCATAATGGGTGCTACGATTAAATCACGTTCATTTATTTTTTTGAGTGCATAACACATTTTTGAATGGACCCTCTTCATCTGCTTATTCCCATTGATATGTTTTATTGCTACAAAGAATTTTATTGCCAACAGTAATTGATATTAATTTCAAAGGGTACATAATTAATTCTGAAAAATAGGCTAATTAAAAAGTAGTAATGTGGACATGGCCAAAACAATTGGTTTACTATGATGTTGAATTTACCTGAGGCAGTATCAACTTTTGAGGCTGTACCATATTTGTCGGCTGGCACCGGAAAAGTACAAATTATAAAATGAAAGGAATGTGTTAAAAACATGAAATAATACAAATGTGCCGTAAACAATGATGATTCCATCAAAAAGGTAATATTTCCTAAAGCAATCTTATCCTATGCACAAGCATTTAGTGGAAGAGCCACAGCAGTCTCACTGACAAACAGCACAGAACATTGACTGTTACTGCTCATGGAATATGTTACCATGTCATCCTATGAGCTGTAATATAACAAACGAGATGGTTACAATAGCCTAGTTAGATATTTAAATGCATAAATTACTTATACTACGTCTTTTGTTAACTAGTTTTACAGAAAAATAAACAGAACAACTACCCTTGTGCTTTTTTTGGTGATGGCAGCAATGACTCCGATGAGCTCATGTCTAAAATAAATTGCAATATGGCCATGGTATTATCAAATCACTTCTGAGATTTTGTCATGCAGCAACAAAGTAGTAGAGGAAACTGAAGGGTAAAAATAGTACTTACCTTGGACATAGTCTTCATAAGTTTTCTGTTTTGTTGCACGCCTCAGTCGTTGAGACATAATTGCCTGTGGATAGGACAAATTAAAAATGTGTTATATGATCTTCACTCACAGAAAAACAAATGCCAGTACACTAATCAAATACAAGAATGACAAAATATATTTTTTTTTAAGATACATCGGGCATACATGTGTTGATATATAAAGTGACGTCGGCAATATTCTCACCCAGGAAGGTAAACTGACAAGACAGGATCAAGATTCAGTTAACCCTTAAAGACATGGAGGAGAGGGAATATGGCAAATCCCTGTGCATGTGGTAAACACACAGCCTTCCTATGAAAATCCTTTGCCTCCAAAAGTTTCCTTTGCGCTCTGCTGAGGTCACTGTCCACCACATATACGATGTTAATCAGCTTTGACTCACAAGGTAGATAAAAGAGCTGCCTCGTGAACTTTGGATCGATAACATCCACCACCAACATTCCATTTTGCCGCTTTTCCCTCACAAACACAAATTGTTCTGTCTCTAACATGAAGCAGTGATTTGGTGCCTTGGTCGATATGGAGTACGTTTTGCGCCTCCTTTGCTTTGTGTGTTCCTGTGTGTTTGCCTTTTCTGCCAATCTTTTTGTGACCTGAGCAACTGGATTTCTGCCGTTTCTCACCAATTTTTTTATGGACTGCAGGTGGTTCTCAAATGGAAAGCAGGACAACTCATTCAAGGAGCACTTAAAGTTAAAAACATCATCAGCAATGTGTTTGATAGAGTGGATGTTGTATGTTGGGAAAGTTTCCCCATAGAGTTCAGAACTGGTATCCACAAAATGTTCAAGCACACTGTAAAAAAAACCCCCGTTATTTTACGGAATTTTACCGTTTTATTTTACAGGTTTTTCCACGTATTTTTGAAATACAGTTAAAAATGGTAAAATTACAGAAATAGACAACATTTACAAATCCAGTGTAAAATCACATGAAAAAAATGTCAATGTACATAACACCCCAAAAAATATTTTTTAAAGATTTTTTTCCACATAACACCAATTTATCAGTGCGCTGATATATATACGATACTACAATACTGCTATTAGAAAGATGTGTCATTTGTGTTTTAAGAACGTTTAGCTCAGGAGTTATTGATCAGGTAAATTCGAATCTGTTGCCAACTTTACCGAACTTCGACCAATAGTGCAATATATATATACGATACTACGATACTGCTATTAGAAAGATGTGTCATTTGTGTTTTAAGAACGTTTAGCTCAGGAGTTATTGATCAGGTAAGTTCGAATCTGTGAATATGTTGCCAACTTTACCGAACTTCGACGCATAGTGCAATATTTTTAATCAGTTTTTATATACATAATCGTAGGCGTCGTCTAAAAGCTCAAAAAGTCGCGAATATAAGACGATGTAGCAGTCGCTTCCGAGTCGAGGTTGGATGAAAGTTCTTAATTCAGAAACAGATTCATTAGGACCAGCGCTTAAAGTGGCCCAACCCCTCCGAGCGCGATTTGAACGTTAGTAACTTTATGTTCGTCGGCACTTTTTCCCTCTTCAAGCACTGGTTATTACGCCTGTATAATGAAATTCGCTTAACTAACATCAATTGGACTGCACGTTTTACTTTCAGATATAATCACACTGATGATCTGAACTATCGTATGTACAGTCAGGCCTGGGTGTCTGCATAGGCACGTGCCTAGTATCCCTCCTCATTAAAACCTTGTATCTCCATATTAAGTCACTTTTTAATAAATTATTTCTATTGGTTACTTCAGCGAGAGAGAGGACCAGATGTTCCATGAAGTGGATCAGACAACCTTGCCCTCTGAAGTAGACTGTGCCAAACTTCCAAGTACACCCTGCATAATTGTGTGTGGTATGTTTGAATATTTTTAAAGGAAAACTATTTAATATTTGCGGGAATTTAAGTTTGTCACAGTGTTACTGATCTCTTCTTTTTCCTGTTGTTATGCACAAGAAAAAGAAGAGATCAGTAACACTGTGACAAACTTAAATTCCCGCAAATATTAAATAGTTTTCCTTTAAAAATATTCAAACATACCACACACAATTATGCAGGGTGTACTTGGAAGTTTGGCACAGTCTACTTCAGAGGGCAAGGTTGTCTGATCCACTTCATGGAACATCTGGTCCTCTCTCTCGCTGAAGTAACCAATAGAAATAATTTATTAAAAAGTGACTTAATATGGAGATACAAGGTTTTAATGAGGAGGGATACTAGGCACGTGCCTATGCAGACACCCAGGCCTGACTGTACATACGATAGTTCAGATCATCAGTGTGATTATATCTGAAAGTAAAACGTGCAGTCCAGTTGATGTTAGTTAAGCGAATTTCATTATACAGGCGTAATAACCAGTGCTTGAAGAGGGAAAAAGTGCCGACGAACATAAAGTTACTAACGTTCAAATCGCGCTAGGAGGGGTTGGGTCACTTTAAGCGCTGGTCCTAATTAATCTGTTTCTGAATTAAGAACTTTCATCCAACCTCGACTCGGAAAATAGCATTTTAGAGCTTTTAGACGACGCCTACGATTATGTATATAAAAACTGATTAAAAATATTGCACTAACTTATGCGTCGAAGTTCGGCAAAGTTGGCAACATATTCACAGATTCGAACTTACCTGATCAATAACTCCTGAGCTAAACGTTCTTAAAACACAAATGACACATCTTTCTAATAACAGTTTCGTAGACAACCAGCTAACGACCTAAACGAGCCTGTTTTTCCCTCAGGGACAATATACCAGTTAGCCTAACGTTACTTGGTAACGAAACCTAAAACTACTAAATTATGTAGTAACATTCGGATAAAATCTAACAAAAAGAAAGAAAAACTACACAGTAACATCAAATGAAACCTAAATTTGACACTTTTTGAAGATTTTAAATGACTAACGGTAACGTTACTGGTCAGCGCCGAAGTTTGAAACACACACTGGTTTAACGATTCAAAAAGGTAAACATTCTAAATGCTAGGACTCAAATA